TTACGGTCCGAAAATTTCAAAATTTTCCTTTCCCTTTCCCCTCCCCCTCGTTAGGAAGGAAAGCTAACGAAATACGTTTTTGTTCGGTGAGGGGGCGGGGGGATGGGGTAGGATGGGGTTTTCGTCGTCGTTTTCCATTTTCCCCCATTCAACCTTAACCTCTTTTAAACACCCGAATGGTAATTATAATTACTTTGTACTGACAACTGATAACTGACAAACAACTGATAACACTATTTAAAAAAAAAAACGTTGCCAATAGACGCAGGCACGCACGCGCACACACACACACGGTATTGAATGGAGAAAGTTTCGTCGATTGTTTATAAAAAAAATAATGCGAACTTGCAATAATAATAATAATAATAATAATAATTTTTTTTTTTAATTCTAGAAAGCGAACAATTCGTTTGTTTGTTTGTTGGTTGGTTGGTTGTTTCATAGAAACAACAAGAGCCAACAGTTATTAACATATAAAAATGGTTATAATCTTATGTAATAATAATAATAATAATAATAATAATAATAATAATAATAATGTGGCAAACGAATTTTTTTTAACGTAACGTAACGTACGAATAATAATAATAATTAAATGTGTTAAATGTCAAACGCGCGTGAAGTTTATTGATTGATGAGAAACATGTTAATATTATTATTATTATCATTATCATTATTATTAACAATCATTAATTCACGCGTACGAGCAAAGGTTTGCACGTAGAAACTTTGTAATAGAAAATAAATAAATAAATATATTTATTGTATTCCATTTAAAGGGAAGAGAGTTATGGACAGAGAAAGAGAAAGAGATAGAGAGAGAGAGAGAGAGAGAGAGAGAGAGAGAGATGGTTTGGAAAAAGCAATAAATTGATCGCAATTAATCGTCGTTAACTTTTATCAAAAGGTTTTCATTTTATTATATATATATATATATTTGATATCAACGACCGACGCCATGATGTCAATGACTTTTCGTGAAAGTTTTATTATTATTATTATTATTATTACTTTTTAAATTTTTTTACAAACAAACAAACAACCAAACAAACGTTTGTTAGTTATTTTTCCTTTACCTTTTATTCCGATAATCATTTTCGAATATAATATATATATAATTTATTAAAAAAATAAAAATTAATTTTTTTTGCGCGTGCGTAGGCGTATAGGTATTATTATTCTCCTGCCACGTTATTCTTCTGCCACTTTCCCCTCCTCTCTCTCTCTCTCACTCTTTTGTCGTTCTTGGATTTTCTTTATACGTTTGATCGATCGATAGATCAAAACGATTGTCGTTGATGGTGAGATGGGGGGTCATAGATTTCGAGATGGGTCAAAGTTGATTCGCCATCGGAGACGCCAAAGAAAGTCGATGGCGCAGTGTCACCAACCACAAATAAATCATCGGGTACAAAGAAAAATCTATTTTTACAATTTTTAATTTTTGTGTTTGTGCGTTCATTTGCGGCGACGCAACGACTTCGACCTTCGTAAAAAAAAAATCTAAAAACGGTTCACAGAAATCTGATTGAAAATTTAAAAAAAAAAAAAAAAAAAAAAAATCCTGGCAAACACACACGCGTCAGTAAAACCTTGAAAAGTGCAAAAAGATTTTCAAAAAAAAATAAAAATAAAAATAATAATAAATTAATTTTATTTTCAGGGAAATTTGTCGCGGGAAAAAAAAGAAACAAGAGTGCCAACTGGGAAAGAAAAAATATCCCTGTCGCATTTTGGGTAAAGTACATTTTATCTATCCTCTTTGTATATACCAGGTACGAACGAACGAAAGAACGAACGCGCGCGTTTTCACAAACGATTCTTCTTCGACACAATAATAATAATAATAACAGTAATAATAATAATAATTGTTTGCGTTTTAATTTACGATAAAGTTCGTATAGAAAAAAAAACTCGTCGTCGAGTCAAGGGCGTCCGGTTTATTTCAAGTTGAAAATTTTCTTTTTTATGTAAAATTTTGCCAAAAAGGTTTTCGGCCAAATAGATTTTCCTTTTCTCTCTCTATCTCTCTCTAATAAGAAAATGAAAGTGATGGGGGGAGGGGAGTAGGGGGGAAGTCACTCGTATGAGGAAAGAAAAAAGAAAAAATATTTTAAAGAAGATGAAGAAGTACCCACCACAACGAGTACTGACTGATACCTGACTGTCTGTTAAAATGACTCATTCTATATAAATTTTTCTTTTTTTTTTTTTTTTTTTTTTTTTGTATTCCGAGGTTTCAGGTTCACGTAGTGTCTGAAGAAGAAGAAGAAAACGTTTCTTTTTAAAATTTTAACGATTTTATCGACCGACCGAAAAGGTTTTTTTTTTTTTTTTGAAAAAACTCGTCCCTTCGTTCGTTCGTTACGTTTCTTACCTTGTTTTTAATTTTATTATTATTATTATTATTTATGAATGAGTGATTTTTAAATTCGAATATCGTGTTGTCGTCTGTCTCTCTCTCTCTCTTGATCACTCACTCACACGTGGTAGGTCGCTTTTCTCTTTTGATAATTTAACAAAAAAAAAAAAAAAATTCAGGTTTTCGAGTTCGATCGGGAAATTATTAACGATCCGTCAATCCGCCATTTTCTTTTTTTTTTTTTGCATTAATAAAGAGATCGATGAAATTTTCAAGTTTTATATCAGAGCAATTAAGATAAATTTTTATAAATTAAGATTGTTAATTAGAAAAGGGAGAAAAGGTGGCGGGGGAAGGGGAGGAGAGGGGGGGGGAAAACGCCGGAAGTAGTAATAGGAAAAATTAAGCGAGAGGAAAAGATGAAAGGGAAATGAGGATGTGTGTGGGAATTAAATAGAAAAATCGAACAAACGAATCGAATACCTTAATACGGTCCTGACAAAAAAGGAAAAGAAAAATTATAAACGAGCTTTGAAATTTGGCAAAGATTCGAAAATTCGAATTTAGAACCGCCAACGTCGAAATTCGAAAAAAAAAAAAAAAAACCGAAAGATGTGACTTGACGATCGCGTTTCAATTTTTTTTTTCTTTTTTTTCTTTGTAATTTTTTTTTAAAGACGATTTTCCCTATTTCCCCTCCTCTCTCTTCCCCTCTTTTCCGTTACAACGCCCCCCTTCTTTGTGTCCCCCCTCCTCTTACTCCTCCTTCCTTCCTCCTCCCCGACCGCGGGCGAAAGATGCTGCGTGCGAATGACCTTGGAAAGAAAATTTGCGAGGAAAAAAAAATTTTCAAAAACAATGGCGGGCGAGGGGTGTGAAAAAAACCTCGGGGAAAACGGAAACGGAAATAATGATAATAATAATAATGATGATAATTTTTAAATGCGTTTTAAATTTTTTGCGGCCGTGGCGGAAAAGTTCGAATACGGTTCGATACGTTAATGTATTATTAGAAAAAAAAAAAAAAAAAAAAAAAAAAAGGAAAATTATCTTACCTCCAAGGCACAGAATCCGACATTTTGAATTTTCAGTAATGATAATAATAATAATAACGATATTAATTACCCCGTGTTATAGCGCGAATTTAAAAATTGACGTTAAAAAAAAAAAAAATTATCCCCACATAATGAAGATTCACTTTCGCACACGAATTAATTCGGGGACAAACCGGAAACGGAAAATATTCGTACTCTTCCTTACGTATATATATATATTAAATGCTTTTAAAGAAAAACGAAAAAAAAAAAAAAAAAAAAAAGTTTACAGAAATTTTTTAAAAAAAAAACGTAATGCCGGCATCGCCGTTCGCTTATTTCTGGGGACGAACGAACAGCATTAAAATTAGTTTTGAACAAAAAAAAAAATGCCCCCGCGACGAAAAAAAAAAAAAAAAAAAACTCTTTGGCCGACTCCCCAATGTAAAATTATTGAAATAAATAAAAAAAAAAAAATTTATTTTTTTGTTGTTGGACCCGAGGGGCGGGGGGGAAAAGGAGGGAGGCGGTGTCGAAAGATATCGGCGGTTTGGTAACCTGTTGCTCTGTAACGCGCGCACCTTACGTACCTGAAAAGGTTATTCGCGGTTTTACGCGTCGTTTGAAACGTTCGTTTTCTATCTCTCTCTCTCACTCGTTTTTTTTCTGATAAGTTTGGAAACGGAAGTAAAAAAAAAAAAAACGGTTTTCGAATCGAACGTTCGTTATTTTAAAAATTTGAAATTAAAAAAAAAACGGTTTTTTTGTTTTACTTTAGTGTCTCGCAAAAAGTATAGTCGTAAAATTTCAGGCGCAAATCAATTCGTATAATTGTTTTCGTTTTTTTTTTTGCTGTCGTCAACGCGCTTGTTTTTTCCGTATACTCTTCAACAGAAAAAAAAATGTCGATGAAACAAAAAAAATTTTTTTTTCTTTATTTTTGGTCGTTAGCGTGTGTTGTCGTCCGTATTGTCACGGATTTGCTACGCGCAAGTCGTGATGCCAAATTTACACAATGGTTTGCTAAAAAAATTTAATTTTAATTTTTTTTTTTTTTTCAAACTCGTTTCTCGCGAAATAACAATGGTCAGTACTTATTTATTATTATTATTATTATTATTATAATTTGCTGAGGTTCATTATCCGAAGGATTGTTCGTTTTCTGTGCCAAAATTGCACGCGAGAAATAAAAAAAAGAAAATGATAAAAATTGAATTTTTCCTGTTGTTGCCTGGAGAAATGGCGTCGGATCGAAGAAAAATTTCTCTATCGAATTGTTTATAATTTTGCTGTGGGGAGTGTGAATGAGAGAGAGAGAGAGAGAGAAAACCATTTTTAAAGTTTTCACATAAGAATTTTTTTCGTCTGAATCATCATCTAATGACCCGACAAAAATTCTTTCCTCTCCTTAAACACAAAAAAAAAAAAAATTCATCTGGATTGTGTTAACTTTGCTGCCGGAAATGTTATCATCATCATCATCATTATCACTATTATCGCGTTTACAAATTACATCCATCTCTTCCGATCAAACCGGAAATGAATACGAATAATGCAAGGGAAAGGGGAGGGGAGGGAGCGGAAATGATTATAATCATCGAGACTCACCCTGGAAAATCGTTGCGGGAAGAACCCAACATGTTTTCCTCGAGCCACTCGCCGATTTTCTGCCGGAAAATGGTGTCGAAATTATCCGAAAGTATTTTCATCCTTTCTTGACTTTTCCTATTGTTTTCCACCTTTTTCCAACCTTTCGCCGATGACGTGTCCACGTCATCATCTTCCTGTTGTTTATATTTCGTCCTTTGAAAATTCACTTCGAGATCGTATTCCCCGAGAGACGAGTTACGATTTTTTTCTCTCATCCATATTTTCGTCGATTGTCTACCATTTTCGTTTTCTTTAACGTATTCTCGTTCCTTGGATTTGTCGTACGATGACGACGACGGTGGCGCCGTCGTCGCCGGCGGCGGCGACAAATTTCGAACATTTCCGTTTAAAAAAATTTCTCTCGTCACTTTCCCGTCGTTTGCCCGTTTTTCCACGAGGAGGTGAAGGCTGGGTTTTTCGTTGAATATCAAACGATTTATTTCCGACTGAAGCAAAGAATCAGATTTGAGGTCGTCTATTTCCAAAATCTTATCACCTGGAGACAAATATTGCGATGCGAGAGTTCCCAAGGTCACCTGAAAAACAACAGCAATCATCATCATCATTAATCGAACGATTTGAACTCATTAGCAAGTCTCGCATGAAATTTCTCAAGTTTATGATAAGTGTTGATAATAATAATAATAATGAGAGAACCGACCGAACGGACGAACGGACGAGAACCATAAAAAAATTTTTATTTTTAACAAAATTTGTATTCGAGAAGACTCCCAAAAACAAACAGGACAGCCAAAAAAAAAAAAAAAAAAAAAAAAAAACCGTTTTAACGACCAAACTTATTCCGTAACAAACGACAAAAAAAAAATTTGACCGAATTATTATTATTATTATTATTATTATTGTTTTCAAAATGACAAAAAAGAAGACATTAACAAAACGTAACAAGATTCATCTTGTTTTCATGTTTAACTCTTTATTATTATTATTATTATTATTATTATTATTATTATTATTATTATTATTATTATTATTATTATTATTATTATTATTATTATTATTAGTTAAACGGTATCTTGTGCGTTTGTGCGTGCGCGTGCATTTTTCGGGACACGAACCAAAAAAAAAATGTTTTTGTAATTGTTGGTAGCTGTCGGTTGTCACTCATAATTGCGAAAATGTTGTGCACCCCTGATCCCGTGTCCCCCTGCACTCCCTGCTCCCCACAAAAAAGGAAAAATTCTTACCTTTGTTATGACCGGATGAATTCCATAATCTGCACCGCCGTGAACTTGAAATCCCCAAGGAACACCGTAATCGTTTCTCTGTAATAATATATCCAAATATTTTGCCATTTCGATATATATATTATAAAATATATCGAATTAATTATTATTATTATTATTATTATCGATAGTGATAGTCATTCATTTCGATTTTTTTTCTCGATTTTTTCTTCTTCTTCTTCTTATTATTATTATTTATTTATTTTCTTTCACGTACGCGCGTTTACGCGTCCGACCTTCGCGAGAATTCACAACGAACTGAAAAACTTGTTTTTATTATTATTATTATTATTATTATTATTATTTCTTTGTTGTTCTTTCGGACAATTATTATTATTATTATTATTAATGAAAATAAATAAATTGGCAAAACGTTTTTTGTTGTGATGTTTGTTGTTGTTTGTTCTCGGTTGTTCGATTTGTATTTGAATTCCTAAAAAAAAAAAAAAAAAAAAAAAAAAAAAAATTGGTAAGAAAAATCAAAAAACAAAATTTTAAATTTTTCACGTACAAAATGTTTTTTTTTTGGCACTCTCTCTCTCTCTCTCTCTCACTCTACTTGTTTCTTTCTTTGACCTTTGACTTAATCTCTTTCTCTCTTTCTCTCTCTCTTTACGTGTGTTTGTTTGTTTCCTTTCTAACATTACTCATTCTTGTTATATTCGAATGCTTTTGTACGGCACGAAAGATGAAATGGAAAAGTTTCTCTGGGGGGAAAGAAAGAGAGAGAAAGAAAGAGGGGAAAGAGAGAAAGAGAGAGAGAGAGAGAGAGAGAGAGAGAGAGTTATTTGAATAAGTCAAATAAAAAAAAACTATAAACAATAAATTAAAAGTAGTAATGAAATGTATGCGATGATGATGATGATGATATTTTTTTTATAATCATCGTTTGTAGGGCCGGAATGAAAAGCCCGCTGCTATCTATAAATATTAATAATAATAATAATAATAATAATAATAATAATAATAATAATAATAATAATAATAATAATAATAATAATAATAATAATAATAATAATAATAATAATAATAATAATAATAATAATAATAATAATAATAATGGTTTTTTTCTTGGTTTCAGGTATACGAAGGCGGAATTTAAAAAAAATTTTCTCTTCATCAACTTATAAACGTTCTTTTTCGGTGAATCAGTGAAAATGTATTATTATTATTATTATTATTATTATTATTATTTTAAATTCGTGAGTGTAAATAACGCGACGACGAATGGGATTATATCGTAACGTCTTTCTCGTTTTCCGCCATTTTGAAAAAATTCTTTTTAACGGATTCTGGTACCTGGGATTTGTAAAATTTATTAATATCGACAAAATGTAAGTTATATTTTTTTTATTTTTATTTTTGAAAAGTCGTAACAAAAAAGGAGATCGAACTGTCGTCTGCTGCTGCGTGATGTAAATAAAAGAAAAGAAAAATTTTCTTTTGTTCGATCGATCGATCGATCGTATTGATTCATAGCTTTATTATCGATTTATTGATTTTTTATTTATTTATTTTTTTCGGTTTGTTTTGTTTGGGAATTTTTTTTTTATCTTGCGGGTTTGCTTACGTAAATAAACATTTATGCCCCCCCCCTCCCCCATTTGCCGAAAATTCGTTATTTTTATTTAAATAACAATAATAATAATGATGATGATTTTACCGCTTTTTATAGAATTTTATGTTTTAAGCACCCCCATCTATGGGTAAAAGGTAGAACTAATTTTAAAATAGTAAATGCGTTGTTGACGTTTCTAGTCGTGCTGGCACCTATCGTTGATTCGTATAACTAAAACAATAAAAATTACCCACGTGTTTTTTGTTTTTAAAGGGCAATAAATGAGAAAAATAAAAATGACGTCACTAAATACTTATTCATTAATGAAAAAACAAATTGTTTTTGACGATTTGATAATTTTTTTCCAAAGAGTTCTGGAAAAGTGTTAATCGCACACGTCATAAATGTTTGTTTGTCTATCGAATTATTCTAGAGGGTTTTCAATTAATTATCAATCAGCAACTCGTCAAAACGTTAAAAAAAAAAAAATTGTTTAAAGTTCGAAAATATACGTACAAGCAATTTCATTGTTTTTTACAATTTTTTTTTTTTTTTTGTTTTTCCGCCGATCCAGCGATTTTTTTTTGATTTTTTTCCACCTTCGATAATGTATTTTTGTAAAATAATTGGGCGCCATTTAATACCTGTTGTTTAAAAAAAAAAAAAAAAATGTGCACTCACAGCCTCCAGGAATCAGACTCCAGTTTATCCATTTTGAAATTTTTTTATGCTCGTTATCTATCGCATAAAACTTACGTTTGAAATTTTCCCGCCACCGTCTCCTGCCACGACCGATTATTTTTTTAGCACGTCATTGTTAGAAAATGTATCGAGAAAAAACTAGTCGGAAAATATTCGTATTTTCCGTTAATCGTTTTTTTTTTTTTTTTTTTTTGTCGAAAAGTAATTTGAAATTCGGGGGTAACGCCGATTGTAAACATTACGTAACGGTTGTAAACATCCGCCATTTTTTTTTTTATTTTCATTAATACCGCGTAATCGAACACGAGTAAAATTGAAATAATAGGAAGGAAGACAAATAAAAAAATAAATAAATAAATATGAAGTCATAGTTTTTTTTAGGGATCATTTTCGTTTTTTTTTATAAAACTTTGATGGTATCTGACGTGGTATTAACTCACCGAGGGGGGGCATCGAAGGTCGAATGACAGATGCGAAATCGATGACAAAAAAAAACCTGCATATTTGTAAGAGAGAGAGAGAGAGAGAGAGAGACGAACAATTTCGTTTTCTTTTTTGTCACGAAACGACGGAAAAAAGGACGCGAATCTTTTAAGTGGCCCCCACAAAAAAAGAAAGGGAAACGAAAATAATAATAAGAAGGAGGAAATTTAAAACCGGAAGTTAAACCCCCACCCCACCCACCCTTGCTACGTTCGAATGAATGAGTGAGAAAGAAACCTTTTGTCGAAATTATTGTTTTTTGATTATTACGTCATAATATTTTTAATAAGCTTTGGAAAATTCTAGAACGAATTTTAAAATTTGAAAATTTAAAAAAAAAAAAAAGCGCGGGAAAATTTAAAAAAAAAAAAAAATTTTTTTTTTAATATGTAATTTTAACGTTTTGATTTCCCAAACGAAAATACCTTAACTCATAACCTTGTTTTTTTCTCTCTCTTTCCCTCTCTCTTTCTCTCTCTCTCAATCATAATGAATTTCTTTTTAGGAAGAAAAGAGAGGGAAACTCATGTTTAGCTTATGACTATAAACAAATACTATTTAAGTTGTCGGAATATAGTCAAATGAGAAGGAGCCGACGTACGGAGTTCAGTTGTGAGTTACAATTTGAAAGCTAAACATGCCTAATTGTCCGAAGTGTAACAAACCAGTTTATTTTGGTGAGTACAACTTATTTATTATCATTATCATCATCATCATCATCATCGTAGGTAGGTTCCAGGTACGTTTGTAAATGTTTTTGTTTTTTTTTTTTTTATTACTGGACGAAGCATGTGTGCGTGACATTTTCCAAACTTTCGATAACGTTTATTCCTTTTAATTTAATTTTTTTTTTCCCACTCCTCTCTTCCCCCGATCCAGATTTTTATCCAGAAAGTTTTGTTTAGAAACAATTTCTCTCACCTGGAAAATTGTCATTTTTCTCTTCTTCCCATTTTCATTCATTTCATTTTCATCGAGAGATTACGACGTAATTTTTCCCTTTTACTGGAGAAAATTTTTCGTTGTCGTTTCTTATTCGGGAAGAGGAGGAGAAGTTCTTCTTTCTGGAATAAAAAAAAAAAGAAAGAAAGTTCAGACAATAACAATGGTGAAGATAATTATCGTTACGTTGATTACATATACATACGCACGCGCACGCACACACACACACACACATGCGTAAGAAATGAGTTGAAATTATCGACGCCCATCATTGAGTGATGATGGATTCTCCAGCGGTTTTTGAACCCTCAACGGAATGAATTTCTTTTTCTATTATTATTATTATTATTATTATTATTATTATTATTATTATTATTATTATTATTATTATTATTATTATTAAATGTCAAACCGGAAATAAAGTCTCGAGTGTGAGAGAGAGAGAGAGATCGTGTAATTGACGATACGCTGGAGTAACGATTAATTATTATTATTATTAGAAGAATAAATTTTGGAACGTCAAAATAAATGTTGACCTTTGACACGCACACACACGCGTTCATGATGACCAGATAACAAAACAAATTCGCATAAACACTTACTAATCGTAAAAAAATAATGATGATGATGATGATGATGTGAGGCGGATTTAATGATGTTTGCGAAACAAATTAAAAGAAAATTTGCATCCACCCACCAATGACGTCATACATCCGTAATATCCGATTCGTTTGTTTGATTGCTTGTTTGTTTGTTCGTTCGTTTGTTTGTTTGCTACACTTATTTCCTTTGAACTTCCCCCGACGATGACGACAGTTCCGTCTCGCGGTAGTTAGTTTCGTATTAAAAGAAAGTTTACACGAGAAGAAAATTTCCCAATGGAAAAATTTCGACACGAGGATTAGTTTTCTTAGTATTGGATTTTCTCTTCGTCATCGTTTCTCACACGCACGCACACACACACACACACACACGTCGTCGTTATCAGATATCTTTTTACTCCTTATCAAAAGCAAAAAAAAAAAAAAAACTTTGTGTTTACTTTAAATTATTTGATTTGTGTCGATTGCTAAAAAGAAAAATATTCGCAATTCGTTTGGTTGTTTGTTGTTGTTTGTTGTTGTCGTCGAAAGTATCGAACCTATAAGAGATGAGTTGACAAGCGTGACAACAAACGCGTAACGCGTCGTTTGTCACGCTGTTATCATTCGAAACCTTCATCCTTCTTATTTTTAATTAATTTTTTTGTTCGAGAAAAAAAAAAAAAAAAAGAGCACAAGGTTAATTCGAATGGAATCGTTTTTTAATTTAAAACAAAAAAAAAAAAAAATTACGTCACGCGGATAAATTTGGCGGTAAATTTAAAAGTTGACGAAAGGTTAAAAAAAAAAAAAACCGGAAGTGGGGAGGATAGAAGTCACATATCACGTACCTTTTAATAAAAAATCACGTAAAATCAACGGTTACCGTTTGTTTGTTTTTTTTTTTTTTGTTGTATTCCTAACGGTAGCTTCCCGTTTAAAGATTCATCGTGTCATTAGAAATCTTACGTGATTATAATTTTAAATGATAACGAAAACGCGCGCGAGGTTAAAATACAAAAAAATTTTTTTGTGCATTTCGCAATTGGGAATTTTTTTCAAGAGTCGTGGTTTTAGTTAGTCAAGTTTTCTCACGACACGGACACTCCCGGAACCTAAACAGGATTAGAAAATTGGTGACGTAATGGGAAATGTTGTTGACGAACCTTTTTTTTCGTTAAGTTACGAGAGAGAGAGAGAGAAAAGATTGTAATGAATTGTCCGACGGTTTCCGGTTTTTTTCCATTCAGGGAATAATCAAGGTCATTCATTCTGGAATGACTGACTGAATGAATGAATGAATTAATAAAATTTTTTTTTTTTTTTTTTTTAGCCGAAAGGAAAACATCCCTCGGTAAAGATTGGCACGGCGTTTGTCTCAAATGCGAGAAATGTAATAAAACTCTCGTACCTGGAGGTCATTCCGAACACGATGGTAAACCATATTGTAATCAACCTTGTTATTCAGCTTTGTTCGGTCCCGGAGGCTTTGGAAGAGGCGGAGCACAAAGTTACATTTATAATTAATAATAATAATAATAATCATTTATGAATATGATAACAAGAGGAGACATGAAAATGGGGATAATTATGTCAATAAGCAACCGACAACAACAACAACAACAACAACACAACAACCACAATCACAATCACAACAACAAACATTTAGTTATAAAAAAGAAAAAAAAGGCGCAGCCATTTTACTCGATGGTTACGCGACGTTAACAAAAGAAAATTATTATTATTATTATTATTATTATTATTATTAACAAACTGTTTTTGTATGTCGTTAATTTAAATATATTATTTATAATAATAGTTTATAAAAAAAAAAAAAACAAAATGTTAATATTTAAATAATTTTAACACACTTCCTCATGTTTTAAAAAATTTGTTTGTGTGTGTGTGTGTGTGTGTGTATGACGTCACAAATGTTATTAATAATGATGATAAAGCGCACATACACACACATCCATTGATTTTGTATATGGTTAAGGTATTAATGAAAAACGTTTTGTTATTGTTTTTGGTATCATGTTACAAACATAAACATAAACATAAACATAAACATAAAAGAGAAAAGAGAAATTTTTTTAATTATGAAAAGTACACAAACTTGTTTTTAAAAGACAAATGACAATAAAAATTAAATAAAAAAAAAAGAAAAAAATCAATTCAATGAAAGTTTTAATAAAGTAAAATAATTAAGGAAATGAAACATAATAATAATGATGATAATAATGATAAAATTCAACTATTTTTTTTAAAAATAAGTAAAAAATAAATTAATAAAAGTTGATTTTTTTTTTACCCGTAAATTAAACATTAGAAAACCGTTACGGATATAATCAAACAAATTATTATTATTCGCGATTAAATAATAATAATAATAATAACAATATCATTTTCATATTTTTTTCACAATAATACACACACAAATAATAATTTTTACGCAAACCGCGCGATAAAACAATACGAGACGCCATTTTAACCGTTAATTAATAACAAATTCTCCCGCCTTTTATCCACTGCCTACTTGGAAAATTTAAAATCGAAGCCTCCGCGATACACTTTTCAAATGTATAATGTAACATTATTCGTTACGTAATTTAGGCGTCACAACGTCTTTTTTTTTTTATTAATTTTTTAATTTTTTTCTTATTAATTTTGTTACATTTTTTTTTTTTTTTTTACACGTTTCGGACATTTTGTAATGTTAAAATATTATTTAATCGTAGCATTTTACACGTTGTTATTCATGTTAATATTAAATAATAAATTGGAATATAATTTTTTAAATAATATTCACAGTGATACCGTTACGTCCTATGATATAAATAATTATAATAAAATAATTATTAGCATATTAATTATAATTAACAGCTGATGATAAAACGTTTTTCAATCCCTTTTAAATATTTTATTAATATTAAAATTTTTTAAAACTTTTAAATTAAAGAAAAAAAAACAATAAATGTTAAATAAATTAGTTAAAATTACAATCAAAGGTAATTAAAAACATATTGTTGGGTTTCAATCTAAGCACTGCCATGTTGGCACTCAACTCGATAATAATTAATTTAATTTTTTTTTTAGTGATAATTTCAAATTCTCATCCAATGTTTTGGGAATTAGGTTTGACAGGTATGCACAATGTAAATTACAATAAAGATTGATTAAAACACAAATGATAAATTTGATTTTTTTCATTTTAGATGATGAATAAGGAAGACATTTCCTAATGTACATGAAATAAGCATTTGTATCGAAACATTTGGGAGATTGCAATCATATACATGGTTGCCTCGACTAAATAGAAAAGAAAAAGGTTTCCTTTGAGAGGAAAAGGAATTTGCAGTAGTCTATGTAAGTATTTTCACATTAAGTCAAGTTTTTCCCACACAAATACTTGGTTTGTTTCGATTTTTATTTAATCGATTTCTATTTCAGGTTCCATGAGAGTAAATTTTAAGTTTTGTTCGATTTGCATAAAACAAATTTAAAGAAATATTTATATAGTGCAATACACACCTGAACATAATCATTCATATCTTGGAGTTGAATTCAAAGTATTTAATTGTAATTAAATTTCAATTACTTTATCGACTTTCTTCCTCCATAAAATTTTTATCATTTCAATTTAATTTATTATTAATTTAAATTGTTTAAACAAAAGAAAAGTAATTATTATGGATTATTTTTTAGTTTGTGTTAACTCAAAGAAAAATTGAATTTGAAGACTTGATTAATAAATAAATAAAAGAATAAGAATTAATCGATAGAAATTTTATATCAAGAGAAAGTATCTGTAAACATGTGATATAGGATAATAATATATTTTGTATAGAAAAAAGGTAAATTTATACTATTTTTTATTTAAAATTAAAATCGAGTTTTAAAATTGGGAGGGGGAAAAAAAAAATGTCGAACAACTCGAAAAAAAAAAGATGAATTCTAATACTCGAAAGTGTTTATGATAATCAGTAAAAACTTTTTTTCTCCAATTAAAACCTCCCCCTGGATTAATAAATATATTTTTTCCAGGATTAACAATTTCAAAGGATTTTTTTAAAACAAGAAAATTTAACGTTGATATCATTATTATTATTATTGTTGTTGTTGTTGTTGTTGTAACTGTCAAACATGTCGAAGGAAAAGTTTTAGGTTTTTTTATTTTTAAATCATAAATACTTTATTTTCATTGTTTGTTTGTTTTCCAGTGAGTTTTCCAGTTTATGATACATTATGTTTTTGATAACGGATCGATTCTTATCCCGGGGGGATTATAAACTGAGGGGGGGAGGAGGGGGAGGAAAAGAACGGATCATCTTATAAAACGAATATTTTCTAAGGATTATCCGTATTTTCATTTCCGTTTCCGTTTCCCTCTAATGTATTTCCGTTCGTTTGGAAATTGCTTAGTATGCTTTTCTTTTTCTTCTGCTATTTATTCGAATTCATTTTGAAAATGCGTCTTATGCGTGTATCGAACGCACAAACGCACACAAATTCCATGGAGACATGTGGAAAATTTTTTATTTATTTTATGGGGGGTGGTGGTGGGGAGGGGGAGGGGGAGGAAGAGAAGGGGATGTTATGACGTTTGAGAATATGTTTTTAAAAATTATACATCTCTATCTCTCTCTCTCTCTCTTGCCCGGTTTCATTTTTTTATTTCCTTTGATGTAAAAAGGGGGCCCATTTTACCGTATAAGGCCCCAAGAGATTTTCCTTCTCTTGACGACAAAAACAACAACCTCCCTATTATCATTTCGAATATATTATCATTCGATTATTATTATTATTTTTCTCCGTAAAGAAAAAAGTTTTCCTATTTCGATTCCATAATTTTCCATGAGAAAATCTTCTTCTGCTTCTGTCTACGTGACGTCATTTTTGTTTTTTCTTATAACGATTTACGATGATGGTTTCAATAAAAAAAAAAAAAAAAAAAAAAAATCCCCGCCGTACAATTTTTACGTAGGAAGTTTAGCAGAAAAAAACGACTTTTACAAAATGGCGGTTGTGATAATAATGATTGTTGTAAACGTGTAATAAATTATGTTAATAACTTTTAAAGGTAATTGTTTTGTGTTTTGAATAATGAAAGAGAAAAAACAACGAATGGCTTTTGATGTGTTTTTCCCTTTGACAATTTGCCCGCCGACAAATTTAAATTTAAATTTAACAAAAAATAACAAATTTTTCTCTTAACATTTTACAACTATTATCATTATCATTATCATTATTATCACCGTTAAAAAAAAAAACTATTCAAAATACGTTGTTAAAATTATTGTTTCTCGAACGTCATCGCCATCGCCATCACCATCGCCATTTTGTTTTTTTTTTCTAAATTAAATTTTTAAATTTAAAATTCGTTTTGCAAAACAAACAAACAAACAAACAAACTTTACGAACGTATAAAACAAACAACAACAACAACAAACAACAAACCCGAAATAAATTTTTAAAAAAAATTAATTTCGGACTTTGGCTGTTTTTTTTTTTTTTTAATACGTACGTGACTTTTGAGTTAACGTCGTGCCACGGCTAATTTAATAATATTATTATTATTATTATTATTTAAAAAAAAAAAAAAAACTTTTTTAAACTGTGGCACTAGACAAAATATAACATTAAATTTAAAAAAAAAAATAATTTTTTTCCCCTTTCTCTCTTTCTCTTTATTATTATTATTATTATTAAATTTTCAACGACAAAAATGAAAAAAAAAATTTAAATTTTTCTTTGGGTTTCATCGATTTCCATCTAAATTTTCAAATAATAATAATAATAATAATACTTTATTGATTTGATATGTATTTTGATTAATGTATAAGTTTATCATTATCATTATTATTATTATTATTATTAACATTATTAAACGAATAATTTGAAGATTTAAAGTCAGTGCAGAAAAGTTTCGAATGATTTTATGAAATGAAAAATAATTTTATCGAGTTGGGTTATGGAAATTCTAATGAAATCAATTCAGAGTAATTATTATTATTTTACATAAAATATTTATTATTATTATTATCATTGTTATATTATTACAATTATCTTCAGTTGAATGTAATGAATTTAATTATTATTTCAAATTCTAAAAATTATCGAATGTGTTATTATTAAGATTTTTTTATTAACATCGTATAATTGCAATTAATAATGTTTATTATCGAGTTTATTTAAATAAGTTTAATTAATTATTTACTTATTGATTTCAAATGTATATCGAGAAAAAAACAAAACAAATGAAGATGTGAGAATCGATTCCAGTAAACGTGAAATTTCCAGCTTACAACCTTCTATAATTCAAACATGCAAACAAAATTCATTTCACGATCAAACTTCAACAAACATCATTTGAATTTTCCACCGATGGCATTTATCCAGAGAGATGTTATTATCCATGCACTCATCGAATACTTCTTTTTAAAAGTTCTGGAATGTGATTTGAACGATGATGGATACACTTGACAAAAACTTTTTCCAAAAGGTAAAAATTTTAAATTTGTCAACCATTTATGATTCTTTTACAGGGTGTGAGTGTGTTAAAGAACATACAACCTAAAACAAAAAAAAGAAAATTTAATGACAGTTTAATAATAATAATAATAATAAGAAACACGTGTTGAGAAATGAAAAATTTTGTATACATATTTTAAATATTAATTACGTACGTGAAATGATATGTAATATTAGTCTATATATATATTACGTGAACGTCTATGAGAAAAAAAAAAAATGATGAGAATTTTCTCAATTTATTATTATTATTATAAATAGAAAATTTTAAACCTGATTATCAACACATTCACGGTATTTATTATTATTATTATTATTATTATTTTTTTTTTTTTACACAAAATAAAAGCGTCAAAATATAATAATAATAATAATAATGATAATAAAGCGGAAAAAATTTAAACTAATGGAATGTTCACAACGAATAAATTATTCGTTACGTTCGAAACGGTTACGAGACGTTCATTCGATGTCACACACTCTATGCTTTTTTTTTTTTTTTTTTTTAAATTTTAAAATTCACAATAAATAATCACGTTATTAATAATAACGTAAACGGTTGTCGTAACGTTGTGAATTTTATTTTTAAATAAAAACCCCATCACGAAAGCGCGCACACACACAGACGTATTTTAAGTAGCTGCCATTTCCCTTTTATCTCGCGCTTTTAATGACGGCATTGAAAGGCACGGAATGAAATTTTTTATCGAAAATTATAAGAAGGCTTTTATTTGTGTAAAAAAAACACGTGCGACTCAGTCTAACTTATTTTTAATAAATTTTTTTTATTTTCATTCTCACGTCTATCCGAGATTGAAAAGAGAATGCGATTGGTCGTTAAATGTTATGTGGCGCCCCGAGCGGGAAAATAATGAAACTAATACCATCATCTCAGTCGCAAGTAACATCAGTTCGGGTGTTGTTGTACTTTGTAAGTTTTTTTTTTTTTTTTTTTTAAGTTAAACTTGAGTTTTTTTTTTTTTTTTTATTATATTATTAGTAATAATAATAATAATAAGCATAAGTATAAAAAATCAAAAGTAATGTAGACGGAAAAAGAAGAAAAAAAAAATGGATTTTAAATTAAAAGTTACGGTTTTTCGTTAAAAAGTTTAATTTAAAAAAAAAAAAGATTCGAATTTTGTGTAAAAAAAAAAAAAATTCAAATTTTTTTATTAACGATTTCCCTCGCGATTTTGGTTTTTTTTTTTTTTTATATAATTAATAAATAAATGTTTATTTAAAAATTATGTACGACTCGTATAAAAATTATCACAAATACAAACATAAAGGAAAAAATATTTTATTATTATTATTATTATTAATATTAATGTGAATAACGCGGTTGAAGTTTTTTTTTTTTTTTTTTTTTTTTAATGTCTTAAAGTGTTGTAAAAGAGAAGAAAAAAATTGTTTTAAAATAAAATAAAATCGTGTGAGTTGTTTTCGTATTACAAAAAAAGAAAAAAAAAGATAAAATAAAAAAAGAAAAAAAAAGGTTAAAACCAGTGCCGGATTCAGAAATGCCTCATGTCAATAGCGGGGGTGGCGGTGATGATTTTAGCAACGACGAAGTCAAAGTTTTTAAAGATGAAGGAGAGGTAGAAAAAAATTCATCGGAAAATTTGAAGGAAGAAAAAAGCGATTTGATTGATCTCACGGAATCCGAAGTAAGTTTTTCTTTTTTTTTTTTTTTTTTTTTTTATCAACCCCTTCCCCCACCCTCCCACATCCCCCCAAATTGTATTTCCCTTCCCGGTTTTTGTTTGCCGGATCGAAATAATAATAATAATCGGGATTTTCTAGAAATTTCTTTTAACGTACCGTCGTACTTTAACTAAAACGATTGTTTAATTATCATCATCATCATTATTATTATTTTTTTCCGTTACAAAAAAAAGAAAAGAATTCGAACGTTAAGAACGAAAAAAAAAATTTGCGATTCGATTTGACAACGTTTAAAAATTTAACGGACAAATATGTCTGCCGTCGCTCGAATTCTTTTTTTTTTTTTTTATTTTTATTTTATTTTTTATTTATTGTTTAACGAACGCGTTATTTGTGCGTTTTATTATTATTATTATTGTTATTACGAATGCGTTCGTGCGTATGTGCGTACAAAAAAATTACGCGGCGTCCGACGGTGGTTTTTTTTTTTTACACAAAAAGTCGTTACATAATCGAGCAAGAACATTTTCAACGGATATCTTGTTCGAACGTGTTCTGGAACATTGAAAATAAAAAAAAAATTTTTTTTTTTTTTTTTTTTTTTTTTATCCCCCGCCAAAAATCGTTAAAAAAAAAAAAAAAAAAAATTTGAGTAAAAGGGGGGGAGAGAGAAAGGATGATTTAACGATTTTTTTCCCTTTATTTAAATATTTAAAGAAAAAGTCGTTGATGACGATGATGATAAAATGATGGATATTTTAAAAAACGTTCCCCCCCCATTTTGTTTTTTTTTTTTTTTTTTTTGTTCTTTTTGGAAAATTTCCGTTATTTTGAAATTTTTTTTTTTTTTTTTTTTTTTTTTTTTGCGGTTCGATATGTGTCGGATTTGTCAAATGAAAAAAAAAAAAAAAATCGAATGTTTGTTTAGCCTTTTTCTTTTCTTTTCTTATTGTTTTGTTGGCAACAATGAATTTTTTTTTTTTTTTTCGTTTGTGTTGTGGTAGTACGTACCTGCTTTATTATTTGGGAAAAGAGAAATTTTTTTCTATTTTCTATTTTCTTCTGCTTTTTTTTATTTTTTATTTTTATTTGTTAGCAGGTAAATTGATGGATGGTTGGATGTGTACCTGTTTATTTTTGTTTTTTATTTTAGTGCCTGTCGTCTTTTCTTCTTCTAATCCGTTCGTGAGTTTGCATGGCGTGGGGGGAGGTGGGGAGGGAGTGTGAGGGGTTACCACGGATGATGAAAGTATTAACGGGACACGTATGAAAGATGACATTTTTTTTTTTTTTTTTAATTTTTCAATGTGTAATCGTCGTCGTTATTGAATTGTTTGTTTAGTTGTTCACAAACAAACGGGGAGGGTTGCTGTCGTTTGTTGTTTTTGTTGTTGTTAAATTGTTAATTGCACCTGTAAATTTTTTTTTTTTTTTTGTTACCTGTTCATAATTCATCGAATTAATATGTCCCTCCTTTTCATGACCACGCGGTCATGTGTGTTGTTGTTGTTATTATTATTATTAATATTTCCATTTTGTGTGTTAAATCACGTGTGTGAGGGAAAAAAACCATTTGTTATTGTTTGTTTTATTTCGATAAGGGGTTGGGGAGAGGAGAGGTAGATAATCGAGGGGAGGGGATTTTTTTTTTTTTTCTAATTTTGGCAATGGAGGTTGTTGTTGTTGTAGGAAAGTTTTGAGAATTCGTCGGCGTTCTCGTACAAGAAAAATTGAGAATGATGGTTGTTTGATCGGGTTGTCGTGTTTAAAATTTTTTTATTTGCTTGCTTGTTTGTTTGTTTGTTTGCTCGTTTGTAATTTAATCCGATCTTGTTGTTCGACTGTCAAACTAATCATAGATTTAAGGTATAATTAATGTATATTCAATTAATATTTGCATAATCAATTCGTCGATGCGGGAAAAAATTATGTTTTATCTCTCTCTCTCTCTCTCTCTCTCACTCTATTACTATTCTACGTTGTTTGTCTCGTTTCGTATCGATGCCTTCTCAGAGTCATGATGGAAAGAATGCGAGAGAGAGAGAGAGAGAGAGAGATTTACGGTCGTTGAGAACCAAAGGAGGAAAACGTTGATGATGGTAAATGTTTTTGTTAATAAGAATCATTATTTAAAATTGTTTTCCCTCTCTCTCTCTCTCTCTCTCTCTCTCTGTCTGTCTTTAACGTACCTTAGCGAGGGATTTAATTGTCGCACTTAAATCCACGAAATTGTTTGTAATTAGGTAATTTTTAATGGTGCCAAAGAAAGAAAGAAAGAAAGAAAATTTTTTCTTCTTCTTTTTCAACAAACAATTATTTTATGTTAGAAAGCGATTTTCTTTTTCTTTTTGTAAAGGCATTTAATTTACAATTATCTTATTATTATCAGGTATTATTATCACAGGTTGTTGTTGTTGTTGTTGTCTTTATTCGTTTGTAGATCCGGTGGAAAATGTGATAAAAATAAATAAAAATTTCCAGTGTGATTCTCCCCAAGTGGTTTTTACAATACAATTTTTTTTTTTTTATTTTTTTTTTGTTCAAAATAAAAGAAATACATTTAATGCAATTTTCCAATATTGTGAGAATTCTTTTCATTATTATTAGTATTATTATTATTATTATCATTACCATTACTTACGGTAGAATCGTTCCATTTATGTATCTTCTCCCTGCACCACCTAATGCGGTTAAATTATTTTCAATTCTCTTGTTATTTATTTTATTTTATTTTTTATTTTTTTTTGAAACGTTTTTATTTATTTCTCGGTCGAGGCTAACAAAAAAAAAAGGTTTCCTCTCTCTCTCTCTCTCTTTTTTCTGTGAAGGTTTCCGTTATGCACTTGTCTGTCCTGTTCCTCGAAGAAGAAGAAGAAAGAGAACAACATGAAATTTTGTAGTAAGAGATGAAATTTTTTTTTTTAAAATGGGGATTTTTTTTTTTTTCTTTTTAACTATTCATTCATCAATCATTTATAATTTTTTATCATTATTATTATTATTATTATTATTATTATTATTATTGCTTTTTACAATCCTCCCAATATGAGAGAAAGAGAGAGAGGAGAGAGATAGAAACTTTTTTTTTTTTTCGGTGGCCATGTTGTGATCCATTTTTAACTTGCCTTTTTTTTTTTTTTTTTTTTTTTCTTTCTTTTTCCCCCCCTCTCTTGGGGTAAAAATGGTTTGTTCCATAAGAGAGACAGAGAGAGAGAGAGAGAGAGAGAGAAATTATCCCTGAAATTTTTAAAAATTCTGCTTCTGGTTTTATTTTTAGATAATTTTATTTAAAAAAATGTCAGGGGGACTTTATGTTTTTTTTCTTTCTTTCTTTTTTAATATTTTTAGGTTCTAGGAAAAGGTGGGGGGGAGGAGGAGAAGAAGGAGAAGGGGGAAAAAAATTGTCACGAGTTTTTTATTTTATTTTTATGGGAGATAAATTGTTGCTGTTAATGGCGAGCGGTTTTGCCCCGCGACAAATTTAATGCGTTCGATATGTTTTTTATTTTTTTAATAATAATAATAATAAGCCAACGGCCATAGCGTGCTGGTCACACCGGTTCCCGTACGATCACCGAAGTTAAGCAGCATCGGGCGTGGTGCAAACTTGGATGGGTAACCGTTTGAGAACGCCACGTGCCGTTGGCTTAAAAAGAGCAAAAAAAAAAAAAAAAAAATGAGAACAAGACAAAGTAAGAACCAAAAACAGAATCTTGTTCTACTGTCGACCTGAGGCAGCTCGACGAGAACGTGAATTTCACTGCTTCTGACCCTGGCCACTCCAAAGATGTTAGTCACCGGAGCCCAGTTCAGGAGACAAATCGTTCCCATCGAAAAAGACGGACTCAGGAAGACCTTCAAGAATTGATGTGGTGCTATCTTATAATAAGTGGCACCACCGAAATTCGAGTATTTGTCCCTAAGGAATCGGGTAGAAACCTCGGATAAATACTTAAAAAACCCCGACAAGTAGCCTTGTCGTGTTTAATGGTGGATAATAATAATAATAATAATAATAATAATAATAGAAAATTTGGTTCTTCATTAGAAATATTTTTTAGGACCGGTTAAATATTTGTGGTTTTTTTTTTGGGAGGGGGGGAGGGGACGGAGAGAAGAGTAGAATTTTTAAACTTTTGCTAGAAGTTTCTCGTTTAAATTAGATGCACATGTAAATGATGTTTTGGTTTTTTATATTCTCTCTCTCTCTCTCTCTCTCTCTCTCTCTCTCTCACGAAGAATCTCGAAAAAACGAGATATGAAAATAGTTTGACGAGTACCTGGGATGCTTTCCTTTGAAATTCCTTTTTTTTTCCTTTTTTTTTTTTTTTTTTTTTTTTTATTAATGCCAAATGAGAAGTCATTAATTGGTCGTAAAACATGCCGTACCGTCGTGAACAATTTTTATATGTTTTATTTATTTTGTAGTTTGTATGTGGTTGTTTGCTTGTTTGTTTGCTTGTTATTAAAAAAATTTTTTTCTCTCTTTCTCTCTCTCTTCCCCCCCCCCCCCGAAATTTAACAAGTATTTACCCTTTTGGATAATTATAATTGTGGCATGCGATTTCCTCGGGCTCAGGTTTTGTTTTTTTCATCTTTCGTACATCATTAGCAGCAATTAAGTGGTAGCAAGAACCCCCCCCCAAAAAACAAACCACAAATTACCTTTTCGTCGTCCTTTCCATTTTTTTTTTTGTTTATTATTGTCGTGTTTCCTCGCGTAGACATTTTTTCTTTTGACAACAACGTTTAGTGGTTTTACTCTCTCTCTCTCTCTCTCTCTCTCTCTCGTCTTAATAACTCGCAAGGTATTTTTTTTCGGGTGGAAAATAAAAGATGAGTATAAATACAAATATGGCGTTCGAACATGATTTTTGATTTATTTTTCAATTTTTTTTTTTTTTTTTATGTAGAAATGAAATAAGATGAAAAAAAACTAATTTAAAAAAAATTTTTTTTTAGCCAAGGGTGATGTGCATGCATGTATTTCATTCGAAATTTATTATTATTATTATTGTTGTTGTTGTTATTTATTTTGTGGGTAACAATTTCCTAGTTTTTTTTTGAAGGTACACGAAAATAGTCTTTTTTTTTTTTAATAAATATATATATATAATAGAAATGAAATAAGGTAAAAATCATTGAAAGATGGTAAGAAGAAGAAAAAAAAAAAATGAAGGACATAACAACAACAACAACAACATTGCTAGACCGAAATCGATTTCCCCAAGTAATTTATCTACCGTTTTTTGATTTATTTACGACAGTTGTATGGGTATTAAAAAAAAGTTTTCTTTCTATACCTGATTCGGATTCTTTTTTACTTAAATTTCGCCAGGGAAATGTCTATACGTAAAGTTCAATTACGCCATTGTTGTTTGATTGTTTGGTTGGTCGGGGGAGAGTGAAGATTTAAATTATTGATTGCAAGTAAGTGTGTGTGTGTGTTTGTGCGTGTGCATATTGTCGGGCGTCATTCGCAACGGTCCCATTTCTATTTTTTTTAAATTAAACCGAAAAAAACTCAAAATCGAACAAACAAAAATAAATTATGTGTTGTCGAGACAGTTTTTTTTTTTTTTTTTTTTTTATCATTATAAACAATAAGACAAACGCGACTGACTGTATTGTATTATGTTGTAGGTAAATTTTCTTTCAGGTTCGGTTTTTTTTTTAGGGGCAAAAAGTTGATAGATAACGTATTGATATATTAATAATTATATTTCAGGTATTATTAGTTTTGTATGTTCTTATTCGTTGCGTTATGTTACTTTTGTTGGTACCTGTAGTAAAATTCGTTTTTTTGCTCCCCACACTCCGCGCACGTGAAAGTGTACGTGTCGAAGAGGAAGACGAATAATAATAATGATAATAAAAAAATTAAAATCCGTGCCGTAATTGGAAGCTGAAACGATGTGTGTACCTACCTGCCCCCGGCCGGTTTGTATTTTGTTTTGTCGTTCAAAACCTTGTTATCTTCAAACGGCCGCATTATTAGAATTTAGGCTTTGTTTGTCAAATAAAAATAAACGCGACGATGTCGTGACGACGACGATGACGATTCTTCGGACTTGGTTTTGATTTTTTGACGTGACACGACGCAAGGACCCATCTTTGTTGTTGTTGTTGTTAAAGTTACGCCTTCGATTGTTTCAAATAACAAAATTTTTGTTGTTGTTGTTACTTATCGAAATGGAGTTGTATGTTTTATTTATTTGGATAGTTTTCCGCAAAAAAAAAAAAAA